TCATATAGATGGGCTAATTCGATTGCAGGCGATTGATCACTCTCCTCCACATTAACAACCTTAACACAATCTTCTTCTGAAGATTCTATAAGCAATTCTTGTATCAAAGGCTGTATATCTATTTCAGATGCTTTTATTTTAGCATTTTGTTCTGATAAGACTGGATTATTAGGGATAGGATGCGAACTTGTGGATGATTCTGACGAAGGGATATCAGAAGTACCAGGTAAATCCAAGTCTCAAAGCTTTTTCACTCTATTGCGCTGTCTGATCTCATCGCTAACCTTTTTTTTGTATTCTTCATCCAAGAAAGCATCTGTCTCCTTATCTTCCAAGGATTTCTGATCACATTAGTCCATAACAGATATATTAACAGTTGATACAATTACCTCTGTTAACTCCTCTAGTATCAGTTCTTCAGGTAATGGAGTATCCATTTCCTCATCCACTGACGGTTTCTCATGTTGCATTACCGTTGGCTCTGCAACCAAATTGGCCGAAGGCGCTGAAGCAAAGTTAGATAAATTGTTGTTAAAAAAATTTTCATTTGCTGTTAAGGCGTTTTGTAGAGTCTGATTCTGTTCCACTTTCGTGAGTCTATCTCTAAATTCAACATTCTCAGCCCTGAGTTTGGCATTTTTAGCATCACGCCTCTTATTATATTCTGCATTCAATCTTAGAGTCTTCGCATTTCTACGCTTAAGTTTAGCTATTTCAGCATCAAACACTGAGAGTTTTCTTCTAAGATCAACTCTTTCAGCATCGAACTCTGAGATCTTTCTTCTAAGATCAGATATTTCGGCATTCTCAGCCTCAAGTTCAATGATACGCTGTTTCAATACTTCAAGCTCAGATGACATGTCTATTATATAACTAATACATTGTACATAAGCATTCAAAATAAAAAATATCATGTGATTTTTCCTCACAGCCCGTAAGCGAAATTTGCTAAGAAAATTTTTTTTATTATTACATGCTAAAAAATAAATACAAAATCGAGACGTAGCCCGTGATACATATTATTTTTTGATAATTTTTTTGATTCTAGCCCTCTTGCTAGTCGGGGAACTATCTACACTAACCCGATCCTTCAACAACCCAACAATTATACCTATTATCCTTTTTACGTTACTTTGAAGTAATTTGGGATTATCTTTAACTGCGGACTTCGTGAGATTAATTTGATATTCGCTTCCACTCGTAGAATATATACCATCAGGAGTATATATAATAAAATGCCACTCTGTGCCTGTAGTCACAATACTATATATATAATCAAAATAGTCGTTCCCAAAAGCTTGATCTGCAGTCCGCTTCTTCTTATTTGTCTGGAATGCACTTTCAAGCTGAGCCAGATTCTAAGAAAAATAAAATGTGTTAATATTGAATCTCTTTCAGCTTTGACGCTCTAAAAACACAGATCTGTATAGTAGACGCACCTGCGTATATCCAATCTTAATATTGCGTGGCTTCCTTTCAGTAATACAGAGGAGGTCTTCCAAACTTTTGATCGCATAGTCTACTCTGCCCGTTGCATCTTCACCAGAAACATCTTTTTGTAAAACTATGAATATATCTTGAGAAGTGAGTTTCTTGGCAATGACAATTGATGCATGTAATATAGCTGAAATAAATTCACAGCGCGTTGCCTTGTTAGCATCGGTCATGGTCTTCACATTCGAAAGTTTTAAGATAATGTCCTCCATACAGTGTTTGAATGCTTTATCATCATCACTAATCTTCTCGAAGACTACAGAAAAAAATAAAGTTAATATAGCTATCTAGTCAGCTTCGAAAAATAATTAATTACCTACCAGGAGTAAATTGTTTGATATTCGTTATATCTTTCCTATTGACCTTATTTCTACATAACATTTCCTTCAGGTCGTCAAGAGTTTTGAGTGAGGAATAGTTTCGTAGCTTCTGGCTAAGTCCTTCGATAAAGTTTACAAGTCTTGTTGCTAGGCCTCCTTTCATGCCATAGCATTCAAGTTTTTCTTCAGTTAACTTAAGAAAATCAAGACCAGCAATTTCTTCCTTTCGTAAAATTTTAAAGTGAGGCTCCTTAAGCTTCAAGTCTTTCTTTTTCAAATATTCAATAAGCTCCTCTGTATCGAAATCCTTAACCACGTCTGACATTGTTTTAGTAAAAATTTCTTCCGTTATTGAGGCGAGTGAAGCGGACGAAGAAGCTTGTGAAGACATGGTTTTTATATATGTGAGTTTGTGCTTGCGAAAAAAATATGCACTCGACTGCAGTTACAGGTAAAGCTAGTTTATGGATATAAAAGTATTTTTGGTTTCCAGTGTAAAAGCGCTCAGGTAGAAATTATAGATTTTTTTGTATTGATTCATAATGCATTTACCCAATATATATGCAATTAAGATGTAGTACAGAATTGTCAGGCGATTATATTATATCATTACACGTGACATTTTTTCAAGATTTACGACAAGAACAGATCCTGAAAGAACCACGTAAATAATATTTTATTTATGAAATAAAAAAACGTTGTCAGTAGCCGGCCTACAATACATAAAAACTATTACATAGCATTATATATAAGATTATTCTGACCGGGGGTATACAGTGATATGGAAGTGCTCTACTTTAGTCTTCTCATCAAAACTAAAAATTTCAGAAAACTGATCGTACAGCTCCATTTCCCTTTCAATAACACTTCCAGCTTGAATTATAC